CTGCATGTTGTAACTTCTGGCTGTATAAGTTTAGTCTTTGTTTGTTACGCTCCTTTAAAAGTCATATTTGTGACCGAGCTCCTCGTTTACGGCCATCCCACCCTGATGAACCCATCTGATCTCTAAGCAGGGTCGGGCCTGGTTAGTTCCTGGATGGGAGACCGCCTGGGACCACCAGGTGCTGCACTTCTCACCAACCTCATCATGGGGTGCGTTGTTCAAGCCAGGAGCCATTGTCAGTACTGGGGGCTGAGCCCCCCTAAAGGTCAGATCCTAGAATCGCCCCTGCTTTGTCATCTTCAATCTGGTATTCTTTGTGGGACGAACGGACAGCATCTCTCTGATTCTCTAACAACAGTTTGGAACATCAAAGAGCAACATGTTTCTGACAAACGTTGTTTTTAAGTCCCTCTTGTCTCACCTGGAGACCTTGCTGCAAAGGAGGAAAACAGCAGGAGGGAGGGAAAGGTCAGGGATGGAAGAGGGGGAAGCAGTCATGAGTTTCCAGTGATAAATGAAAAGGATGTCATTCAGAAGGTGAACTGATCAGTAACAGGTGCGGTAACAATCAGACCTGGCTCACCTGGAGACCTGGCGCCTACATGAAGAAACAGAGTGGGAAAAAGAAGAGTGCAGAGATGCATTCATTTAGTTCTGTTCATTATCTGCTCATAAAGTCTGCAACAATAAAAACTGGAATAAGAAAAGGAATAAAAAACAAAGGCCGTGAATTCTCCAGTACATCCTGCGTTAATGCAGAATATAAGTATTAATGTTTTATTTGCATCTTTTACTACATTAAGTTGGTTTTTACTTTTGGTACATGGATTTTCTTTTCTCATGTGTTACCCAGATAATCTTAAATATTAACTTGTGTGGTTAAGTGAAACTGTTTAAACTTTTTTTTAACTTGATGCTTGTTGTGAAACCAACAATAAAAGCTCTCTGGTGGAAAGTATTCTTGAGTTTATGTTGCTGCGCTTCCTTTGAGTTTTGGATATGAACACCCTGAAAGATTTATACTCAACAGACCGAAGGCCTGACGCTCCTGGTCTGTGGAAATAATCCCAGTGAAGTGAATCGGATGTTTTATCTGATTCCAGTGACTGAAAGAGCTCTTCAGCATGCCGTCGGTTTGAGCAGAAACTCGTCAAAGACCCGCTGAATTACATCAAATGTGCAGAAGCACGAAAACCTCTGACCAACGTCCCACTGCACATTAAAATCTTGGAGGTTGGATTTTATTTCTAGACAGAAGTTCACTTTGATCTTGGCCCATTTGGAACAGCTCAGTGTTGAATGGTAAATGGACTCTACTTATTCAGCACATTTCTATTTTATCAAGATACTCAAAGCTCTTTACAACAATCTGTGCCTTCTTCTACCCACTAATCAGACTAATCAGAGCTGTATCACATTCATACACCGATAGGACACACATCAGAGACAATGAGGGGTTCAGTGTCTTGCTCAGGGACACTTCAGCATGTGACTGCTGGTGGAATCAAACCCCCAACTCTCCCACTGGAGGACGACTGATCTAACCACTCATCCACAGCTGCCCCTAAAATTACTGCTATGATTCCAGTTTCTCCAACATGAGGCTGTCAGGATGGTTTTCTACTGCAGGAACTGACTGATTTATCTGAAGGAGGTTTCAGTGGAGGCCGTCTATCCCTTTAACATATTAATCTGGCTGATTGGATCATGTGCTATTCTTTAGATTTGACTGTAATCTTAATCTCCTCCACTAACAGGGAGACATGCAAAATGAACACTTTTGTAAACAGCAGAGCCTATATGAGAACTTCAAATGATTCTTGATTAATCTCTGTAGCTTTAATCTGAAGTTGGTGTGGGGTAAAGAGAGCATATGTGTTAACGCTCCATTTACTAAAACCTAAGAAGTGAGGAAGTTATTGAAGCATTTTGTAACATTACAGGTTTCTACAAAACAATTTACAATATAAACAGGGTGGAGGGAATGAATGTTAACAAAACTTTACTTCAGCAGGAACTGATGAAACATCTAAACTGCTCGTTTCCTCTGAGATGATTTCCCTGATCAACTTTGTGCACCTGAATGAAACAGACGAGTTCCTAATCTCACCTGGAGAACGAGCTCCGTGGATGCCCCCGTTGAGGTTCTCACTGATGCACAACTCCAGAGACGTTCGTGGTTTTGGGACAAACTCCTTCCTGGGTTTGACAGAGGTGTCCCTTATCCTACGAGGAGCAAGAGAAGGGATTGTTCAAATCAAAGTTCAGGTTCAAGTTCTGTTGCTTTGACGTGGCAACTTCAAGAATACCCACCGTTCATCAATTTTACTGGAGAGCTGCGTGAGGATTTCAGCTGCCCGGGTGTGATACTGCACCTGGGCGTGGACTAACGCCGCCAGCTGGCTCACCTGTTCAATCTGTTCACATGATGCATAACACATACAGACATCTGTTCACATGATGCATCACTCATTCAGACATCTGTTCACATGATGCATCACACATTCAGACATCTGTTCACATGATGCATCACACATACAGACATCTGTTCACATGATGCATCACACATACAGACATCTGTTCACATGATACATCACACATACAGACATCTGTTCACATGATGCATCACACATACAGACATCTGTTCACACGATACATCACACATACAGACATCTGTTCACATGATGCATCACACATACAGACATCTGTTCACATGATGCATCACACATTCAGACATCTGTTCACATGATACATCACACATACAGACATCTGTTCACATGATACATCACACATTCAGACATCTGTTCACACGATACATCACACATACAGACATCTGTTCACATGATGCATCACACATACAGTATCACAGAGAAATCATCTGATGGGTAAAAGACAAACCTTGTTACAGATTAAATTAATCTGTAAACTGCTTTTTTCATCCAACCTTTATTTTTGCAGGTTAATCCCATTGAGCCTGTTGGAGTCATTTACAAGAGAGACCTGATAATTTACACGCTTCATTTATTTTATCTAAAACTCCATGACCTAAAGAGACTTCTATCTGAGTAAGGATCATGGAAATGACATGGACTGTCTGACAACGTTAAATAGATCAATATATTTTATAGCAAAATTTAATAGCAAAGAAAACTATTATTGAGGTCCTGTAAATAAACGTGTGACACGAGCAGAAGCTTAAAATCATAAAATAAATCTAGAGTCTTTTTCTCTGTACATTTTGATTTAAAGAACCAGACTTGTACTTTATAGAAAACGTTTTTAATGAATAGTTATTTCGGTTGTTAAAGGTCTTTCAGGACTCGGACAGACCTGAAGGCGGCTGGTCCTGTGTCCCATGTCTGGCTTTCATGGATTCTTGTCCTGTTCCTTACAGGTGACTGTCAGACCCTGCTCATCCGGGGTTAACACATATTTTATTTACTTTGTTTTAGGTCTCACACATTCTCTTCTGCGTTTCTTACTTTTTAAGGCCAAACTGAACAATTAGCTCAGATACAAGAATTGAACAGAAAATTAATTGAAATGAAATTTAATAAAAAAATAAATGTCAGAATCCAAATCAAAGTTTTGAACGAACCTGTTTATAAATAATTTCTATAGTTCACATATAACTTTATCCACTTTTTAGAACAAAAATGCTTCAATGCCCATGTAAGGTGTCAAAAATGTCCAAACTAATGAAATATCAAAATACAGAAACAGAAAATTCTTTGTTTAGTAAAATATATATTTTTAATTTTACCCAATTTTTATTTATCATTTCAGTTTACTCTCAGTTTTAATAATTTTGACACACAATCAAAGTTTAATGTGACAAGGTAAGGATAAAACAAAACAGGTTCAGAAAAAAATGATAAAAAAAAAAATCTTCATATTTTTGTTTTTAGGCCACAACGTGACACTTTCATGGCTTCTAGTAAAAAGTTGCATCTCCCATCCACACGTAGAAACCAAAAACAGAATAAGTAAAATAAAATCTCCAAACAGGTGAAACATAAATAAACTGGACTTGCACATGCATTGATCTTCTGTTCTCCAAAGCTTTGGACTCTGATGAAGTCTACACCTGGTTGTTTGGGATCTCTTTATTCCACGACACGAACTCTTTGGAAGCAAAGCATAAAAACCAGGAGCTCCGCAAGGAGGCGCAATATACGCCCGACGGGATAAAACACATTCAAGTTGTTATTATTAAATATGTTTTTACCGTGTAATACATAGACATCTGTGTCGTTATTATTACCCAATAAAGTCTTAATTTATTTTTAGAAGAAAAAAAACTTAGTAAAATTGTAATGTTACGTGGTGACCTGAGAAGATTTCTCTACATATGAAATATAACAAAGTGTAAGAAAGGGTGCCAAGAACATTTAATCAGGTCTCTCTCATAAATGAGTCCCCGAGGCTCCATGGGATTAACTTGTATAAATAAAATGAATGAATGTGCACGGCCTCTTATCGTGACAGACTTCGCACCAAGTTGATCACATTCCTATCAACGGTGTAGGAAGAGTTGAGCTGATAATAAAACTAGCAACGGACGATGACACAACTTGCACCACAGCGTGATTAGACTCTTCTGGAGGATTCAAACTGGCTGGATTAAACTTTTAAAAGTAATACTTACGTCACTCTCCAACAAGTTGAACATGCTCTGCTCAGCAATCTCCTTGGAGTCATCAAATTTCTCCAGCGCTTGTTTGATCTCGTCATCCGTCACTTTGCCCTGACGTTTCTTCTTATAGTCAAAGTCTAGGCGGCGGCCTTCCAGTTTCTTCAGGTGATGCTGAAAACGTCAACCTCACAGTTGAAATCCGTAACTATTAGAATTGTGCTTTTGACCATGGGTGGTGCGCGACAGCTCCACACTTGTACCTGAATCTCCTTGATGTCTTTTTCATGGAGGTTTTGCATTGGATCGATGAAGTTCTGCTTTACCTCCATGTCCAGAGCGTCCTTGACCTCACCTAGCTCACGCATGGCTTCGCCAACGTCAATCAGAGCAACACCTAAAACAGAAAGAAGAAGAGACTCAAAAGTCAATGTTACAACGTCAATGTAAGTCCAAAATAGGAAACAATATTCATGGCCTTCTCATTAGACACAGATTTGTATGTTCTTCATTTCAAGACGGACTGCAGGTACTTCCTCTGGTTGAACATCCCGTATAACATTTAAAGACTCCGTTACAGAGTGGTTGACAGAATAAATTGGGCCACTTGGTTCAGTTTCTGTGTGAAGCTCTCAGGTGTCAAACTCACCAAAGGTGGACTCCTCTCCGAGCTCCCGTCCAAACCTCTGCATGGACTCTCCCAGCATGGTCTCGGTCTGCGTGTAGCCCGGCCCTTTCTCCTGGCCTCGCATACGAGACATGGAGTTCATCATGGTCATCTTGGCTCTGGTGGCTGTAAACACACAAACAACAACAAAACAAATAAACAAAAACACAAAACAGATCGCATCCAATGAATGTTCCACTTCGATCATGATTTTGAGATGTAGTCCAAAGAAACCAGAGGTACAGAGGTGAAGTAAACTCCAACTATGATTTCAGGAATTTTCCTTCTTTGCTTCCTGGAGTCGGGTCCAGAGCAGCATCTTGAGCAGGGAGGTCCAGACATCTCTCTCCACAGCCTCTTCCAGCTCTTCTGGGAGGACTCCAAGGTGTTCCCAGGCCAACTGAGACATGGTCTCTGTGTCCTGGGTCTCCTCCCAGTTGGAGCAGTGGTTCTACTCTGAGTCTCCACTGATAACTGAACTTCTCACCCTGTCTCTAAAGGACAGTCCAGCTACACTTTGGATGAAACTCATTTCAGCCTCTAGTAACAATAACATTAACTTTGTTAATGCCTAGTGGGGAAATTCATTCTGTTTCCTGTCACTCATGTGGAGCAGACAGCTGCCACCTAAGGAGCAGCTGGAAGGTTAAGGGCCTTGCTCAAGGGCCCACAATGGGGCAATGGTTATATGACAATATGGTTTGTAATGATGTGAGGGTATGAACATAGACCGACTGGTAAATAGACAGCTTTACCTTTAAACTATGAAAACTGAAATCTAGATGGTGAAACTGACTTTGATGAAATACAGATGTGCTTCATCAAGTAATCTTCACTGATTATCTACTGAAATGGATGAAACTAATTGATCTACTAAGAGGAAATTACTGGAATAATAGTGTTTCACATCTCAATGTAAGAGAAGTCTCTGAATGATAGCAAAGTAAATCTTCAACTAGGCCTAATTTATTTATTTTATTAAATTAAGCTAAACTTTGAACAACCCTCTGTAAGTCCCACAGAGTACTGATGTTTAAAATAGAACGAGTGCTTTCTGTAGGACTCCAGTGGTTTCTGGAACCATTTCCTCGCAGCCTCCGAGTGGCAGGGCAGAGCCACACCACCGCAGCTGGTACAGGATCAGTTGGCCACCCGAGACGGACCTCGAGACCTGGATGAATTAATTAATCTCACCATCCGGACTGATCACTTCCTTTGAGAGGGACACAAGAAACACTACAAGTCCCCTGAGTACCCTGTTTCCAGTGATCAGACATTTCTGGGACTTGAACCCAGACCTGCCAAAACCTTCAGCTGTGGCTGGAACCAGTGCAGACTGGACACATCAAGTTACCACCGAAGGAGGGAGCGTTGGATAAGTGTCAAAGACTCTCAGTAAGAGTGGTCACTTCATCACCTGTGTCCTGCTCATTTGATATTCCAGCAGAAGTCCAGGGATGTTGGTGGAGAGCTCTTCAGGTTCTCCTGGTCTCATCTTGTTTTACCTGCTACTGACTGTGTGACTATGATAAATCTCCCCATTAGCTTTGGTGCATTCAAGTGCTGAGCAAAACTGGACCAGTAACAACCTAGTGGAGCAACTGCAAACACCAGATCAAGAACCAACTCAACCACTGTCACCATCGCTGCTCTTACAGGTCAAGACCTCGCTCTCAAACCCAAGACTTCCATTTTGTGATCTCCAGGAACCATCATGAGAAGGATGGGTGTTCACTCCTCACTTCATTCTGAGATACCTGTAGATGCTACAGAGACACAAGCCGGAAATCAGATGGGCAGAAAATGCAATGTGGAGTTGACGCTATTCTTCTTCTTCTTTCAGCTTTTCCCTCTTCAGGGTCGCCACAGCGAGTCATCCTCCTCCATCTCACTGTGTCCTCTGCATCCTCTGTCCTCACTGTGTCCTCTGCATCCTCTGTCCTCACTGTGTCCTCTGCATCCTCTGTCCTCACTGTGTCCTCTGCATCCTCTGTCCTCACTGTGTCCTCTGCATCCTCTGTCCTCACTGTGTCCTCTGCATCCTCTGTCCTCACTGTGTCCTCCGCATCCTCTGTCCTCACTGTGTCCTCCGCATCCTCTGTCCTCACTGTGTCCTCCGCATCCTCTGTCCTCCCTCCAACTACCTCCATGTCCTCGCTAACTGCATCCATAGATCTCCTCTTGGTCTTTTTCCTGTCAGCTGCATTTCTAACATCCTTCTATTACTAATAATCAATAATCAATAATCTAGTTGTGATTGATAGAAAGAGTTTAAAGTGCAGACAAATAGATTTTAGACTGTGACTTCTGCCAGAGAAAGAAAACCACCCGGCAGAATGTCTGAGAAGTGTCTGGTGAAATTACACATTAAAGTTTATAAAACCTGTTCCCAGTGATCTTGCTCTGAGCGACACAAGAACCCGGAGCTCAGTTCTGTTACCTGGGTTTGGCTGCAGGTACTCTGTGGTCTTTGTCATGATGTCCAGCACCGCTCGAGCCGTAGAATCCACCCTCTGCAGACCCAGTCATTAAAAACATGTAAAAGGAGAAGGAACAGATGCAACACGAACAGATTCTGCAGAACGTCTGAAGGTTTGTGTTGGAGCTGCTAAAACTCCTTTCACCAGCAATATATAGAACCTACGCTGAAAAACTAAATGTCACAGGCATTCATGTAAAAACATCTAAAAAGTGTAACATAAAAAGTAAATCTTAAGAAACATCAATGATTTCTGAAGATTTCTATTAATTATATGCAAAGCTTAAAAATGTACTAACATTCATTTATATATTTATATATTAGCACTTTTTAAAAATGCAAGGACTCAAATGGACAGCAGATAAGACGAGGTTTGATATTTTTAAAACTGCGCCAAACGTAAGTTACTAAAGTTCCACAAGTCAAAAGACTCGTGTGTCATGTGACTCTGGAGCGGGACAAACTGGCAAACCATGAACATGAACATGGACTGACGAAGGTTTACGTTTTTAAAAAGTGTTCCTAATGAAGACAGAAGTCGGAGCTGGTCCATCAGAGCTTTCACAACCTGAAACTCCAGAAACTACAGTGGAAGCCCGTGGTCTTCATCAGGAAGGCAACAGAAGACAATAACCTTTTCCATCTCGGTGAAGTCCTCATCATGCTTTGTTCCTTCTGCTCCTCCAACCTTCTCGCTCACTCTCTGCAAAACAAACGAACATTAGCAGCTCAACGCACGACTGAAGGATTTCTTTCAAGGTCAAAGTTTTTTTTAATTTCTAAACAATGAAGCAAAACAGGGGGCACGGTTGGTAGAACTGTCTCCTCTCAGCGAGAAGGTCACCGGTTCAAATCCCGGCCCGGGATCTTTCTGGGTGGAGTTTGCATGTTCTCTCTGTGCATGTGTGGGTTTTCTCCAGGTATTCCAGTTTCCTCCCACAGACTAAAAACATGCATGTTAGACTGATGGTGACTCTGAATTGTCCCTGTGATGGACTGGAGACCTGTCCAGGTGTCCCTGTGATGGACTGGAGACCTGTCCAGGTGTCTCTGTGATGGACTGGAGACCTGTCCAGGTGTCTCTGTGATGGACTGGAGACCTGTCCAGGTGTCCCTGTGATGGACTGGAGACCTGTCCAGGTGTCCCTGTGATGGACTGGAGACCTGTCCAGGTGTCCCTGTTTTGGACTGGAGACCTGTCCAGGTGTCCCTGTGATGGACTGGAGACCTGTCCAGGTGTCCCCCGCCTCTCGCACTGTGACAGCTGGACATGGGCACCAGTGGCACCAGTGACTCCAGTGAGCCAATCAAGAAGAAGCAGGTAAACATGGACGGATGGATGGACGGATGGATGGATGGATGGACGGATGGATGGATGGATGGATGGACAGATGGATGGATGGACGGATGGATGGATGGACGGACGGACGGACGGATGGATGGATGGACGGATGGACGGATGGATGGATGGATTGATGGATGGATGAATGAATGGATGGACGGATGGATGGATGGATGAATGGACGGATGGATGGATGGATGGATGGATGGACGGATGGATGGATGGACGGATGGATGGATAAATGAATGGACGGACGGATGGATGGATGGATGAATGGATGGATGGACGGATGGATGGATTGATGGATGGATGAATGAATGGATGGATGGATGGACGGATGGATGGATTGATGGATGGATGAATGAATGGATAGATGGATGGATGGACTGATGGATGGATGGATGAATGAATGGATGGATGGATGGATGAATGAATGGACGGATGGATGGATGGATGGATGGATGGACGGACGGACGGACGGATGATGCAAACCATTAATTTTAAATATAATTTGAAATCTTTAATATATGAACAGAACAACTGATTGCTGATCAGCGTGTTTGTCGGCCCCTTCTTGAAAAGTGAATTTCACTGTTGATCAGATGAGGAGCAGCAGCGTGAACTGGTGCAACTGGTGCAACTGGTGCAGCTGGTGCTAAGCTTCAAGCTTGTCCACAGGCAGACACAAATACAGAAATAACTCCCATCGTCTTCGCTCTGCGTCTCAGTTTAACGCCAGATTTCCCTTCATCCTCTGTAACATGTAATATCAGGCGGTGCCTTGGGGGGGCAGCAGTTAATGCAGGCTGGGGGGGGGCGGGGGTTGCATCCTTAAAGAGAGGACACCAAAGGATGTCCTTTCCAGAGCCAAAGACAGATTTGTACGTTCTACAAAATATTCTCAAATAAACCAAGAGGATGCGTGATCATTTCTAAATGTGTAAAAACAGAAGCGTGTTCTTTTGAGAGGGCGCGACATGGGCGAGATGATGCGTGTCAGAGAGCTGACGGTGCGTTTTAACAACTCCCAGCAGTTTATGCAGCGTAAGAGCCGAGGATTTCTGCTCCGTGACTCATCGCAGCAAATCTCCTGATCCCACTCACGACGCGGCTTAATATTCTAACGGCAGCACACACACATCGAACGGCTTCAGAGGAAAGCTACGTTTCCTGTCAGTAATGTCAGCAAGACGTCACTGGAGTGCCTTAAGCCTGTTGCCATGGAAACAGCTATAGGTGTTTGTCTCTTTTACATCAAATCCTTCCTCCTGTCAGTCAGACCCGATGACCAAAGACTAAACAAAGATGTTAATGTGTAGTTAAATATGCTTTAAGCACATTAGTTGTTGCATTTTTATCTTTGTAGGTGAGGTTCAGCTTAACGCCTACATGTATTTACACACCACAGTTCAAACAGTCTGTTTAAATACATAATGAAATATTTTACACCAGGAATAAATAGAAATAAAGATCTGGTACCAGGCGTACAAATAAAGTCCAGTTAGGATTAAAAGTCTGATGCTCGACACACCCTGACAGAAACAGATCATGGGTGTAGATAACACCAACATCTGACAAAGACCAGGAGGAGGCTGAGCTGAAGCTCCAAATATTCAGCTTTGAATGAAGACGCAGTCGCTGTTTGATTTTATTTTCCAGCGAGAAACAATCATTCTCCAGAAAAACATTTAACTCTGACTTATTGAAAATGTAATTAGTGCATGCAGCTGAAGGTGAGCGTCTGTGTCTGTTATCAGAAGATCTGAAATAAATACTGGACAGATTTAGGAGCTGCAAGAACGGAGGTTAGACCAGACTCCAGATTTGAAGATGAGCAGGCATCTGTCATGCCCAAATAAAAATGATTGAAGACAGAAAGAACCCAAACATAATGAATTTTATATTGAATAAAAACTCCATGTGAGACAGATTCTGTTGGCAGAAATGTCTCCACAGAGATAATGAGACAAGATTTACATCCCAACAGCAGCCTTCATCAGACCCGTCGAGTTAATCCAAACTTAAACAATATTTTATCACTCTACCCAAAAACTGTTGCACCGACTGGAGGAGGAGGAGTCACCTTCTGTTAAAGGAACAGTATAAACTCAGTCAAGCAGCATCTCTGGGTACCTGCATGTACCGAGGGCTTTCAGCATCTACATGAAAAAACATGAGCTGTTCTGATTAAATTCACTGCAGCTCTGCATTTCTTCTCAAGAGCAAAGAGACAAGTGAGCGGCTGCAGAGCTTTGATGGGTTTGGAGATTTAGAACACAGATGGAGGGAAGATGCACGCCTGGATGTCCTCGACATACGCTGCAGGTCACTGCCAAAGAGACAAGGGAGTGATGATGCATCCTGCAACACCCAGGAACCTAAAGGCACCATGCAAACGTGATGCAAGACTAACAGCTACCAAGATCTGATCAGAGCTGTCGCTCGTCTCCTGTGAACTTTGTGTTTTTCTAATTTCACAAAACAATCCTTCCTTTTCCACCCAGGATCCTGTCTTCACCCTCAAACTGCCGTCTCTAAATCTCCTCACAAACAAGTTTTTCATTTATTTATTAAAGTAAACAATTATTTATAGACATTTTGATTAGAAATTAAACACAGAAAACGAGGTTTGTATGTCATAATTTACAATTCTTAGAGAGACATCACAGTCAGACAATAGACGATACTGAAATCTGTGGATCAGAGCTACGTACCGTGTATATATATATATATATACACACATATATATATATATATATATATATATATATATATATATATATATATGCATGTATAAAAGCTTGTGCATCAGTCACAAGGATCACAGTATTGTGGGACCAGAAGGTACCATTGTAGCTGCTACTGGTGCCCTCCACCCCACGCCGCACCTCCCTTTTCCTGCTCACTTGTCTAATCCTGCCTGAGCACATGGAGGTCCCTGCTTTAAATACGCTCGTGTGCAGAGGAGGGAGATTAAAAATGACAGCAGTGATTAGAGAGGCTATCAGGAGGACAGCTACTGCTGCTGGACAATGAACAAAGCATCCGACTCCCTGAGAGCATTGAACGCGTCCTCCACCTGTCTGCTCTCTTTCATAATGGCAAAGAGATTATTACCCTGTTTTTAAAACTCAAGTTAAAGTTTTTCAAGATTTTTTAGGGTGTCACAAGGTTGGTTTTATGTTAATAAGAGAGAAGGACAATACAAGAGAACAGAGGCAGCAAAAAGTTCACTTTGGAGCAAATTGCACCCTTACAACCCGACTTCAGAACAAGCAGAAGATGATGGACAGATGGGTGGACGAACAGATATTCTTGCTCTATCCCTTTTCATACCATCAAGTCTTCATTGATTTCCTGCAGCTTTGCTCCAGATAAAGCTCCTGCTGATCTCAACATGACGTTCAGCTAAACTGAAATGTCTCCTGTCTCTCGCTGATCGTGTCGAGTGTTTTGAGGGACAGAACAGAAGTCCTCGCTGCAACCACACTTCAGCACCTTAATTAGTTTAAAGGCTGTAATTGTGCCGGCTGTTCTGAGATTAGACCTGTGCTCCTGTGGAATCAAAGAAAATCCTCTTGCTGTTGGGGGGGGGGGGCTCTTTCTCGCTTCAGCCACACCTGTCTCAGGATGATTGCAATCCCACAGAACATGGAGTCCAAAGGTTTTAATTATTGGAGATCAAACTGAACGGTTCCACTGGTTGAAATGTTAAGAAAATAAGAGAGGGAGAAGAAAAGCAGCCAGGATGACGGTCTGCAGGACCTGCCTGCAAGTGGTGCCTTAAATTAGACGTCCTTTACAGAAACTGGTAGACTGACGGGCTGAATAAACCCAAGTGTTCGGTCCAAGACATGCCAGCATCAGTCTACTGGTTGGCCATGCTGCCTCACCGGCCTCGATCCTCTTTGGCCTGTGGCAGCTCTAATCTGATTTGTAAGCCTCTGCATGGCTTTTATGTAACAGCAGGGATGAGTCTGTAATTGTAGATGCAGCATGAGGAACAGCACATGATGCGAAGAATGAGCATTAAAATGTGCATTTAAACTCAGTGATAAACTCACAACAGGCTCCTGTAGTCCGTCACGTTAGAAGTCCCTTCTTTAGCCGTTTTATTTGTCTTATTCTCTGATCTGAACCTGAGCGGCGTTCTGTTGTTGGACTCCAGTCTAGTCACAGGTTGTCCATCACTAACACGTCCAAACACAAGAGTGTACATAATTTACATGAATAATTTAATGCTTGACGTTTTTCATGATTTTAACTCTTTTTACAGTTTCAAAACGCTCAATAAAACATTTATGCATTTTAAAATGTTTTATTTTGTTCTTTTATCATTGTACAGACATTTGGCCAGTG